GTCACAACTCTTTGAAAAAGTCACAACTCTTTGAAAAGTCATAACTTTTTCGAAAAGTCGCAACTCTTTGGAAAAGTCGCAACTTATTGAAAAAGTCACAACTCTTTGGAAAAGTCACAACTTATTGAAAAATCACAACCCTTTGAAAAAAGTCCCAACTTTGGAAAATTCACAACACATCGAAAAATTCACAACCTAAGTTAGGGATATTATAGTAATTTAACATTCAAGTTAGGAGTTCATGCTTTTAAGGTAATATATATATTAATTATCAGAAAAATCACAACTTATTGAAAAATCACAACCCTTTGAAAAAAGTCCCAACTTTGGAAAATTCACAACACATCGAAAAATTCACAACCTAAGTTAGGGATATTATAGTAATTTAACATTCAAGTTAGGAGTTCATGCTTTTAAGGTAATATATATATTAATTAATTAAAATTACAACTTGCAATTTTTATGTGTAAATGTAGATGGTTTATTCAATTTTACTATTGTTTACCATTTTTTCAATTGTAAAAGTTGATAGTTTATCTTTTATTAAATTGAGAATTGACATTTTGTAACTGATCAATTTACTAAGATGACAATTATTTATCCTCAAATAATTTAAGTGGAAAAAAAAGAGGCAAACATGACAACAAAATTGTTCCTCTCATAGCTAGTTAGAAGGCCATAAAAAAATAATATTGTCCGGCAATTATTTACCTTAACTCAATTACATAATAGTTCAAGGGTATAATAGAAAGAAGTTTTTTATAATGTTTTAATCCAAACACAAGATGAGGTGAGAAACAATGAACCAAACTCTTGGTAAAAATAATTCCTGCATTACTAATCCCTGCACTATTAATCCATGCATTACTAATCTCAGCATCACTAATCCCTGCATTATTAATTTTTGTACCAAACAACCCCATATAGTCTAATTAATTCTAAACGAATGAATTGGCTTTGAGGTTAGAGTTAACAATTTTTATAATTGTGGTGTTGGACCAACTAACGTACACCTCAACTAGTTCTACATATGTTATCTTCCACCAATACAATTTACAAATAACCTTTTAATTGCTAAGACATCCGAAAAAACCTACTTATAGAAATTTGTCATAGGGTCAAGCAGACTTGAAAGGATTGATTAATACATAACTAGTTACTTACAGTTTTTATAAACAATGTAATTCATCCTCTTTAATATAAGTTGTCGATCAATAGACATAAATTGTCTTGCTAATGGTGACCGTTTCATACTTGATACAAATTAATGTTATTGATGTGAGACACACTATTTTTTTGTCAAGATGGGGTTGTTGTGTTCCAATTATTAAAAAAAAATTGTCAGCATTTAAAATGGTTAACATTTCACAGTGGAAAAAAAAAAAAAACCACCACTCCAAAATTCAAGGACCAACTATGCAGAAGAAATGTTTTAAGGAATTGATCATTTGAGTTCACTATTTAAAAGAGTCTCCTTCAAGGAATTTGTGAAATATGGATTCGACACTATACACATGCAAGAATAAAAAATTACGGGCATAACTTAAGTAAATTTTAATTTTATCTATCTTGTTAAATTGCTCGCAAGTACTACTGAATTGACAAATCTTGCTTTGTTCACAAGTTATGCCAAGCCTAACATAACTTAGGTACTATCTTAATTCTATCTATCTTGATTAGCGAAACTTGCGTGTATTTTTCAAATGTCCACTAGTTTCAATGAACTAACAAAATTTAAATTATTTACATTTTTGGATTGGCAAATCTTGTGTTGTTCTATGTAAGACCATCTGAAACAACTTAATGAATCCACATTGTTCATGTTGCTTCATTTAAACTCATCTGTTTTAATATGAGAATAGCATAACTAAATTTACGAGCACACGAATAAGAAAATACTAAAAGCATCCATAGATGGCTTATGGCAGCTGGAAACAGACACTAAATTACATGTTGAAACTACAAAATACAAAATCAATTGAATGGTACTCGCGATTCCCTGACGGAACATCTTTCATAGGACGCTAGAAAAGGACACAAAATAGATGCAAGGAAACAATGTAAGTCAATCGTGCCATTGTTGGAGAACAGCAGTAAGGAAACAACAAGACAACAACAAAATTAGTAGTAATCAAGATCAAAATATCCAATTCATCAACGAGTACGAGCTAAAGTAGGTTCCTTATTGCGGTTTAACTTGACCACTTGTCCCTTCCCCATGTATTTCAAAACATCAACTAGAGATTCCCACTCCAATATTCATGTACACAACTGCCTACTCTATACAAATTGCAAGTATCTTCTCCCAGATGTCGCAATCTACCAATAAAAAGACATTCTAGCACCTTTGGGAGACTGGCCATCTCAGTCGCATAAAGAAATCACAGAATACAAAGATAGATGCAGAATAGCTATGCCAATATCTCTTCATTCATTCAGGAAGTTTCTTCCAGGCGAAACATTGTGATCTCTTGCTGTTTGAAGTACCGACGGTCCTCTTCGTCAACAAGAACAAGATTCAAATAGTATTTCACACTAAATTTGTTGTTGATATTGCGGTATGTTGGTGTCAGTTCATATGGACTAAGGAAGAGTCTAATGGGTATTGATTCACCTGTCAATCGAGCACAAATATCAACAATATATAAACCACAAGTCAACGAAGAAGATGACTGCTCAACTACTAAAAGATGACGGAGTATACCTCTGACTGGAGCACCATCCATCAACTCAAACTTGGCCAGCGTCTCTGTTTCAACATGGGTATTTGCCCCAGAACCTGTTGATTCTCGGCGTCTAATCTCAAGATCCATGTTCTTTATCTTAATTCTTACAAGGAGAAAATATATTTTTCCTATGATAACATCTTTCAGGTGATACCTGTTATGAATTATAATGCACATTAGGAAAGGCATTAACAATCAATAGATGCTTCCATGCAAAAAAAAAAAGACGACCAACATATACAGAACATGTTTTTTTTTTTCAGGATCAGAGCACACACAAACACACACTAACTAAACCAAAGCTGTTCCCCTCGTGCTAAAACAAAACATCTAAAGCCAGGAGTTAGTTCACTTCAGTAAAGATTGCAACATTGTAATAATTGAGACGGTGATTAGTGTAGAAATCCAAACACAAAATATTTTTAACATTTTACTCACTTGCTTTTGTTGTACTCAAACTCAATATGGAGGCAATCTTCAATACCGACTTCCATCTGCAAGTTTAAACAAAAGAAACCAATAAGTCCCTTAGCAGTGCAATTCTCCTCAGATCTAAATATCTCAATATAATCACCATGTCAGCCATTTTGTTACAAGTACCATGCTCATTAGTCAAACTTTTGAGTCATTTACACCCAACCCAGCAAGCTGTTTAAATTACTTTCCTTTTCATGTCTCTGTGACAATGCTATATGTAAATGTTGAAACATTGAAAAGGAATATTACCTTAATACTATTGTTGATTGATGGAGGCGGACTATAGTTGCGCACCTGAATCAAAGAAGTCAGATAAATAACTCAGCAAATACTCAATATAGTTACACTCGAGATCTCCATGAAACAGATTTAAATTGGAAACTAACTAGAAAAAGAAATTGAGATGCAGAAACTATTATCTGATATCCAACCCTGCTCCTTCTCCCGATTTTTTTTTCCTTTTTGGTGGTTCCACCAAAATTCCCTCGACTTTTTTTCTTCTTTGTGATGAAGGATGAATTCTGAATGCCCTTAGTATTCAAAGGAAAGGGGTAAACACTAATAGACTAGATGATCAAATTCTGTGCTACACTAAATGAGTGGTGAGCGTAGGCTATTAAAAGGGTGTATATGTTCGATAAAGATACCAAGAACAACAACATACCCAGTATCTATATCCTTTTTTTTTATAAAGCAACCAAGAACACAAGATTGATTTAGTAACTCCAAAAATTCAAGAAATGGAAAGAAAGAAACATATGTAATTAGGACATCATAAGATATGTCAACTATTTAAGATTGACAAAATATGAAAGGAAGAAAGAGAATGTTACCACGAAGTCTTGATATTCAACTATGCTACCAGCATAACCACGGCTGATAGTAATTTTAAGGATATACCTAAAGCCAGCACAAAATCCCAGAAAATTATTGTTAGTAATCTGGCATAAGATCTATCAAGCTGCTGACAAGACAAACATTTCAGCCAGAACATGCGAGCATGTACTACCAGGAACAACAAATTAGAAAACATAATTGGCACACCTACACTACACAAATAGAATGGCCATTCTTTGGTTCAACTCGACGTGATTTATTTTCGGAATACCTCCCTCAATATTAGTTCTATCCTCCATTCAGCTCTTTAAAAATTTACGTCACCCCTTTTCAAGACCTCAATAAAATGGTAGAATGATAGCCCATTTTTCTCTGTTTAATTAACTGTTCCTTCATATTCTTCTGGCTAATACGAGTTTTTTCAGTAAGCTGCCTCACTTTCAGACATTTGAGGTACTAACTAGCTCTATCTTTAATGACGACCAAACAAAACTTTCTTGATTTCCATGTAAAGAAAGAGAAATGCTGAGGGAACAAGTAAATGAAGATTAATAATGAAAGAACAGGTTTAACATACACTGACAAGTTCAGTCAATGTTCAAAGTCCTAACATTCTCAGATGCCTAGGATATAGACATTTACTAACTACTCAAAGCATCCAATTTTAGGTGAATATGAGGAAAAATATTCCTATGCCAAAATGAAAATTCTGATAAAATTAGCTTATTTATAAGAAAATGAAAACAATCGTTCTAAAGATGAGAAAAAGAACCTAGCAGAAAATTATGCAAAATGCACCTTCTCAAAATAAAAAAATCTTATTCTTACACTTCCATTTAAGGCATAAAAAGATTCTTTTTCCTAGTGACAATGATGTCCAGGGAAACATGTGCACACCTCGACTTAATCCACCGGTCTACCTGCTACAACCCACCAGCACAAGCATTGGGTAACTCTGTCCACCAAGGCTTAGACAAATGGGAAAAAATCACAAGGCTAAACTCACAATTCTCCCCCACTTCATTGACCACTCAACCACACCCTTGAATGCAAGGAACAAAATGAAATGTTTCATACCTCCTGTACTTCTTTTCCTTCTTACCTCACTCTATCATTTTCATTCTCATCTTCACTCAACTATTTTCTTTACTTCCTTAATCAATTAGGCAATGGTTGTGATGGTGAAATTGGTTGGTGGTGTTGATGGTAAAGCCTGAAAAATGTGGTGATTGACGATGTGGTGGTGGTAGTTGGAAGTGGTGCTAGTTGTGATGGTGGGGGTGGTAGACAGTAGGGATTGATCGTAGTGGTGGTAGTGTTTGATAGTGGTGGTGGAGGTCGTGGCGACGGTGACTACGTTGGTGATCAAAGAATGTATGGTGGTTGATGATGTGATGGTGGTAATTGGCGGCGGTACTAGCTAGGATGGTTAAGTTGGTTGGTAGTAGGGATTGGTCATAGTGGTGGTGGAGGCGGCGATGGTGACGGAGGTGGCGGCAATGGATATAATTATAATGATGGAGGTGATAGGTTTGTGTGGTAATGGCTAACGGTAGTGGCTGGCAATGATGGTGGTTGTTAGTGGTGGTTGTGATGACAGAGATGGTTGACAATGGTGGTGGTTGTGGTTGTGGTTGATAAAGACCTAGAGGGTGTTTGGATTGGCTTATTTTAAATCACTTTTGACTTTTAAGCTCTTTTTTATATTTAGATGTGTTTGAGAAAGACAAAAAGTGCTTTTAAGCACCTACTTTTAGGCCAAAAAAGTACAAAAATAAACCAAAAGTCAGAACTTGGATATGACCAACTTATGGCTTTTAGCTTTTAGCTTTTAACTTATAAGCTACTTAAAGAAAGTCAATCCAAAATACCCCTAGTTAAATGCTTAAATCTTACTGAAACAAATGCACTTAATGGCCTATGCTTTAAACCATTCAGATTCAAACCTCCATTAAGTACAAACAAATGAGACTTGAGATCTCATCGCATGTCCTTTCATGCCATTTTATAACTACACGATGTCAGCACTATAAACTTTCAAAAGAAGGTACTCCACTTCATCCTAATCCCAATTTTCAGTCGATCTTTGGAAAGATACATCCATTGGATAAAAACATGGAAATCACCCATTGAGAACTTTTAATCACTATTTCTCATTACTTTCGATGTCCCAATATATGTGATACTCTTATCCTATTTTAGTCAATCCTAAAAATAAGGAAATTTTTCTATATTTAATAATAATTTTACTTTAAACTTACAATCTTACCCTTAATGAGAAGATTTATAGCGTAGAAATTTTGATGACTTGTTTTAGACCACAAATTTCAAAAATCTTCCCTTTTTTCTTTAACTGTGTGCCCAATCAAATATCTTCACATAAATCAAGACGGGAGGAGTATATAGCATGACTGACTTTCGAGAGACTAAGTCATTACATAATACCTGACTCCAAAATATATACTATTCTAGAGATCACACTATGCACGCTACCACTCACTAACATCTAGCATTCCTGTGGAAATCGCATCAATACCTTTACAAAGACTATCCATCTGCACAAAAAATTTTGAAGGTAGAGTTGAGCTGAACAAGGAAAGAGCCCATATGGGCTAGATGGATCCAAGGGCTACATCATAGTGAATCCTAGGCATGGCTAGGACATTTGTTCAATTGGGTTTTCGAAATGCTTGGACAACAAGATAATAGCTGCAGAATTAGGAAAACCTTGAATATCAAAGGTACCTACATCACTGCAAAGAGATGCTACTATTGATAGTTTGGGTTATTTTTTTAGAATTGGTACTTATTTGAGATTTACTTATCCATATATATATGTTGAGTCAGCATAATTAGTTATAGCAAGAATTGGTTAGTGCTAGTGTTTGTCTGTTACACAGTTAAGTAATTAGTGGATTAGATTAGTGACAGCTAATTGACAACTGTATAAGACCATCTCTAATCCAACATCAAATCATATTTTGGCGTAAAATTAGGTGTTTTAGTGCTCCAACCCAACACTAATTCTTACACTATTTTAGTATGTGAATAGTGTTGCACCAAATTTTGTGTAAGACTATTCATCAATTACAAATATCTTTTTGATTATTTTATTATTATTTATACTATATAAAACTTTTGATAATATAAATGATAAAAATATAATAATATAATATTAAAGAGAGAAGAACATAAAGAAAATATTCTTTTTTAGTGTAAAATTTAGTGTAGTGGGTTGGAGATGGTTTGCACTAAAATAGTGTAAAATTTGGTGTTATGGACTGGAGATGCCTTAAGGAACTAGTAATGTGTATATATTCGAGTACATTCTCTCAGAAATGAAGTTGAGTAGTATCATCTTCTCCAAAATATCTCTCTCAAAGGTGCTTCTATGGAGCCATTTGTGCATTGCTTCTTAGCTGCATCTACAGCAACTTCAACTTAGTTTTTGATATGGTGTCGTCGTCAGGTTCTTCTGTTTGTTTTCTTCTCGAACCTTCGTCGTCGAAAGCCGTGATTAACCCATAATTGTAGGTTTTGAACTAGAGCTTTCCCATATCCAGTCAATTTGATTGTTTCGATCGATCCACATGGCGATTGAGCAACACAAAAGGTCTATTGGTAGTGGAAATGGTAATGGACAAGTTGATTCCAGCAATCCATTGTACATGCATCCCACCGATAGTCTTGGTACAATGATAGTTCCAGTTCCCTTTTATGGAATGGGATACCGATCCTGGAGAAGAAGTATTCTTCGCCGCCCTATTTTACAAGAACAAATTAGGTTTTATTAATGGAGAATGTAAGAAACAAGAGCTCAATTCCCCCCAATTCCGGCAGTTAGAGAGATGCAACAACATGGTGACTTCCTGGATCTTGAACTCTCTGTCTAAAGAGATAGTGTATAGTATGTCAATGATTCAATGGAATTATGGAGAGAGCTCGAGGACAGATATGATCAGACTAATAAGGCAAAGCTTTACCAGATTCAGAAGGAAAACAATGATTTGACTCAAGGTAATTTCGACATCCCTACATATTACTTGAGAATGAAGAAATTATGGGAGGAATTGAGCACCTTAAGCAACAGAAATCCTTGTACCTGCACTTGTGTGTGTGGAGGGAAGGAAAGTTCAAACAAGGCAGAACAGGATCGTAGATAAATTCAATTTCTTATGGGGGTGAATGAAGTCTACACCGCAGTGAGGGGGAACATCTTTATGATGACTCCCTTGCCTTCTATGGCACAAGTTTTCTCAATTCTGATTTAAAAGGAGAAACAAAGGGAGTTTCTACCTAACAACATGATGAACATGGATTCTACAGCACTTATGCTAGCTCATCTGGGACGTGAAACTTCAGGACAGCAAACTCTTCCAATCATAGCCAAAATTACCTCTCTAATGGTAACATTGGAAACCTCTCCAAGGGCAACTATGTGGACAAGTCTAAGTTGTTTTGTGATTACTGTAAAAGGACGAGGCACACAAGGGAAAATTGCTACAAGTTGATTGGATATCCTGCACCAAAGCCCCAATCAGATCATCACAATCAAAAGTTCAATGCCACTAAGAATTTCAATGTAATCCAACTCATCAATATAAATAAAGGAAAATGCATTGTGGCAAATGTACATGGGATGCCAATCGATATGTTGTTTGCAAAAGGGGAGGAACCTGAGACAAAGGAGGATGATCAACCCATTAACCTGTCATAGGAACAATATCGTAATGTTATGACTATGCTGCATCACTTCCCGATGAACAGTGCAGGAGAACACGCAAACAACCTCAACTTGGGAAATGGTTCAGTGAACTTAGCAGGTATTGTGGTTTGCACTTCCTCAATTGATTTTGGCAAACCTTCATGTAGACATTTTGAATCAAAATCTAACTTATGGATATTAGACTCGCGGGCTTCGAATCATATGACCTTTAACAGACTTTCTATGACCAACATTAAGACCTTGCCATATGCTATTTTGATAAGCCTACCTAATCGATATAGAGTGAAAGTATTGAATTAGGAGATGTGATACTTACACCTAAAATCATCTAGCATAA